AATAATAATAATTATCGTTATTGTTATTACTACTTTTCATTTATTTTTTAATAATAGTAATTGTTTAATCAATTTTTTTATATCATTTTTCCTATCATTATTTTTTTATTTTTTTTTTAAATATTCAACTTAAGATCAATTCAATTAAGTTTCGTTTTTTTTTTTTTTCAAACATACTTATACGTACGTTATTTATATAAACGTTGTTGATTACATTTATTTTACTTAATTTTTTTTTTTTTTTTTTAAAAAAATTTTCATTTTTTTTTTTATTTTTTTTTTTTTTTTTTGTTTTTTGTGTACATCATTTTTAGTTACATTATTTAATACATTTTTATGTATACAATTAATATTAATATTTATAATTAGAAAAAAAGAAAAAAATTCCTTGCGTCCATTATTTAACTTTAAATACCTTACTCGTTATATATTCATTTTTTTTAAATTCATTTTTTCAAATCATACTTAAGTGCGAAAGAAAAAGTTGGAAAAATAGTATAAAAAGAAATTAGAAAACAAAATACGACCAACATTAGCCAGCCATTATTAAAGCGAAATTCGGACAAATCAGTTCCATATATGCGCACAATTGCTTCTATTGTAAATGTATTTCTGCACCAAATTCTATTAAGAAAAATGAAATGTAGATATTAAAAGAGAAGAAGAAGCGAAGTGAAGAGAAAGGATTAAATTCCTTATTCAAGTTCTTGAGTTCACCTCTGCTCAGCCTGTCACCTCCTTAAATGGGACATGTACTACTACTACTACTACTTGAACTATTATTTGGATATGATTGGAACCAAGGAACGTTAAATAGATTTTCATAAACGATTATAAAGATTTATTCCGGTAGATATAAAGCTAAGGCCAAGTCGATAGCCTTCGATGCTAATGCTTTAAGACTTTAGTTTTAGAATTCATTTCTCAGGCTAAATCGGCTACGACAATTATTGCCTTGTCTTAGTTCTTGCGAACAGATCGTGAGAACTTTCAGGCTTTCATACTCTTCGTTACTAATAATAGTATAAGGAAATATTCGGTTTGTGCGGCCGTATGCAACAAGCAGAACAACTTGATATAGATTCAGTTTCTATTATATCGACCGACTCGGGATCACACACACCATGGATCGATCCAAGCTTGTCTATCCTTCCGTCTTATTTTTGAGATATTCGTATGAAATGTGGTATACTGACGTGTTTTGACTCGAGGACGAATGTTATTGAAAATGATACCAATCGGACAACTCCCCATATAACGGGGATATATGAAGATTGTTGAATTTTTAGAAAATCGCTTAGTTGAAGTATTTCGCAATTGTAAATTGATGTGAAATCTTTGCATCGAATGTAGTAATGGGGAGTGGAGAGTGATTCTCTTGCGAAATAAAATTCCGTACGTACTTTAGATGGTAAAGGGGTTGAATTTTCATTATTTTTCGATGCAAATTCGCTCACAATAGAAATTTTGATATAAAAACAAATTTGGACAACGCAAATCTATTTTTTTTTATCCCAACCTATTTAAGCATTTTAATGAAACGTAAGGCTGTACATGCCGAAATGGTATAATTCGTAATCTTTTATGGCGAAAAATAAATCAGTCATAGGGAATTTGGATCATCAACAGGCATCCATCACAGCGACAAAGTTTAGGGTAACGGTGAGCTTTGGCTCACTACATCGTTTTCATTTTTTTTTTTTTTTTTAAGTTTTATCTGTGAATTCGATAAAGTCTTTGGAAATTACGAGGAAAGGTGACAGTTGAGAATCCACCCAGCATTCCTAAATGTCTCACTATTGCTTACTACTTAAAAGTATTGTGCACTATATCCATAATATGCATACTTCTCGATATTACATTAACAAAAAAAAAAAAAAAAAAAAAAAGTCAACATTAACACGTATGTTTATCTTTTAAAAATATAAAAATATTTTATAAAAATATGGAAAAATGTTTTTTCTCAGATTCTTCTTCTTATCAGCTGGGTGCAGAGAACTCTTAAAACAGGCTAAAAGCCTTCTTTTATAACACGAGATATGACGTAAAAGTTTGCATAAATTAAATTTATTTACTACAAGAAGACACTATTGGATTTTAAAATATCATCGTATAGATAAAGACCCGACGTTCTCCTTTCTTCTTTTTTTTTATTTTCTTGTTTTTTTGTTTTTTTTTTTTGAATAACTAAAAATTTCTTTTCAATTTTCTAATAAGTATGTCACAAAATTTTTAATATATATATATGTATATATATATATATATATAAAAAAAGAGAGAATAAAGAATATATTAGAGAAAAAGAAATAAGAACTTAACAAAAATTAAATTTAGTATCAGACTCTTAGTAAATTTACACAAATCGCTAATTATTTTATATTTACAAAAAGACAAAAGGAATAAAAAACAAAAATTAAGTAAAGCCCATTTATAAATTCTTATATATATGCATATAATTAAGTTGTGTTAATAAAAATTTATTTTGTACAATTTATGTATATAAACATTTAAGTTACATTTAAGATTGATATACATTCGTTTTTATTTCATATACATATTTATAAGTAATATTTATAATAAGAAAAAAAAAAAAAAAACAAAAAAAAAAAAAGAGAAAATTTTTGTAAATCTTTGCACCTGTGCAAAAATCATTAAGTTCCTACGTACATATGTATACGTTTAAAAGTATGTAAGTAATATATGTACAGTATATCCAGTATGGGGATAAATATTCATGTTTATAAAAGCATTGATTGCAATCAAAATTTTCGAAATGAAAAATGATCTCCTCATTGATGTTCCGATTCATCTATATCCTCTATATCTATATATCAATACAGAGAGTCACAATAATGTAAAAAAAGAAAGACAATCAAATAGCACGAAAGGAATATGTCCGTATGTGTGTGTGTGTGTGTGTGTGTTTGTCACAATAGACTAAATAAATCGATCAGCTTGGTTGCTCTTAGTTTAACGGCTCGCAGCCAGCAGAAGGTATTGAAAAAAAAAAAAGGAGAAATGTTTAAAAACTTTCGTTTCATTTTCATTAAAATAGGTCTCACGCCTTCCCTACGTCTACAGCAGCGATATTAGATTCTCGATGCAACGCATGCGGCTAAATGGATGGTTGAAAACACTTTGTAACTTCGAGCGGTACAAGTGAGCAGGCACATATTTGTAAGTCGGTTGCAAAAGATAGAAAGAAAAAAAAAAAAAAACATTTTAAGAACCTTGATAAAATTTCATTATGTAAAGATGAATGAGGTATCGAAGGGCTAGAGCCAGTTAAAACATGGGTATATTTCTTTGGCGTGCCGCTTTCAGTAGCCAAAAATTTCCGAATTAACACGGAGCATTTTTAACATCTTTCATAAACATTCCACCAATGGAAGGCGTAAGGCAGTATCGAATAAACGATCCCTTATATATTCGCCCTCACAGATCGCAACATTTTACATATATCATCGGAACGGCGAATATATCAGAAGGTATTTTCCAAGCTTCTCAAGCGGCAGACGTTGCCCCAGTTATATTGAGCAGATCAGGATGATTCTATCTTGAATCTTGTTTCATTTTACCTCTTAAGCTTATTTTAATTCAGAACGGGATTTCAATCTTCTTAATTCTGGCATTAAATACGCTGCCCCTTAAATTGAAAATATAGAGTGAACATAGACTTCCTTTCTATTCGAAAATTGAACAGTACTATTGAGGGGCGTGGCTTAATTGATTTTCTTCACTTTGCTGTCTTCGATCCCGCTATTGGCCCGAAACAATGACAACATCAAAATCTCCTAGTCAAACTGCAGCGAAGCCGAGGCCGGGGAGAATTTTTCATGCCATCTTCATGAGAGTACCTCCCCTTCGTAATGTTAATCAAAAATCTCGTAATCGAACCTTGTAATATCCCTATAATAATAAACGATATTAAAAAATTTTCAATCTTGACTTGGCTCATCGATTGATGATGGGTAGTAGAGATATTAGAGATAATAGGGCGAACAACTAGTGTGATATCGTTCTCGACAATATGATCACATCCGCATGTCCGGAAACCCGATATGCTCCTTTCATTGTTTCATTGACACTTGATATTTTGCAAATGAATACATGGGAAAGGACTATGATTTGTTTTCTTGCAAGGTTGCATTAATGTTAATATAACAATTTTTCTGAATAAAACTATCTTCCTCTGTCCCGGCAATAATTTTTTTTTTAAATATGCTTCTAAAGGAAGCGTACAAGACTTACTCAGATTTAAGCGAATTAAATTCAATTGGTATCAGACAAAGTCCAACATTTTCTCCATATCCTACAGCATTCCCCCATATATTAAGAACTTTAAATTTTGCGTTTTTTTTTTTTTCTTTTTCAATAATTATTAAAACGAAAAATGTTACTAAATAGATAAAAAAACAAAGCATAGGTGTAAAAACAGAGGAAAACCCAAACAATAATTAAAATCCCCTTTTAAGCAAATGGCAAATATTTTATAAACTTAAACACTAATTATTTTTTTTTAACAAATTTAAAAAGATTTTTTTTATTAAATATTTACAAAATTTGTTATTTTACTAAAATGTATTTATTCTTTGCTGTTCATTTAGATTTAATTTTCAATTTGAAGCTTAGACGAAAGCGAAAATTTTGATGTTATAGTTTTTCTAATGTTTGCTTTAAATTTTTTTTTTATAAATATTGAAATTTGCAGAGGGAGAGGAATCCTATTTCTTTATGGCTTATGAAATTTACAATTCAACGGTTTTATCATTAAGGGCGAAGAGATTTCAATTATATATACATATATATATATAAACACATATATATATATATATATTTGTATGTATTTATAATTATTTAGTTTTTTTTTTTTTTTTTTTTTTGGTTTTTATTAATTCTAATCAATTTATTCTAACAATTGTAATTCGCTTTTTACAATATTTTGTTTTATGTCATCATTTAATTTTCATTTTTATAATTGCTCGTAAGATGTGTTTTCCTTTTTTTTTTTTTTTTTTTTTGTAAAGAATCACTATACGTTTACGGTAAATTTTTTTTATACAATCCGGAAATAATAATCCCTTTCCTCTGCTTGGCTTTATTAAACAAGAAAAAAAAAAAAAAAAAAAAAAAAAAAAAATATTACCAATGATTAATTTAATCGATTTCTTCTCATTTGGCTATTGTTGTTTGGTTTTAGATATTAAAAAATTTCTCAAATGTGGTCCGTGTACTTTTTCTTGGTGGCACCTGGTGTCTGTCAGATTTTCTACGAATTTAGCATAACTGTCAAAAAGCTATCATCATTCTTAATGTACTTGAATGGATTTTCAATTCGCTTAATAATTTTGCATTATTATTATTTTTACTATTATTATTGGTGTTGTTGTTGTTGTTGCTGTCATTATATGCCCCTAACTCAGTAGATGTATGTATAATTTGTGTGTTTAATAATATTTCTTTCGTCTTTTTTGTTAATCTCCGTCATTTTATTCTGCATATAAAAGCTGTGTATAATTTTTTGTTATTTTGCTTAAATTTAAGATATTTTCTTTGCATAATTTTTTTAAAAATCATTTACAAATTTTGCCATTTACCAGAAATACGGGTTTTCTGTGAATTTTTTTTGCCGTAATTGTGTCGCTCTTAAACGTAGACATATGAAGTAATTGTTGTAGTTGTGATAGGCGTAGACGTAAACGTGGACTCTCCATCCCAAATGGGATGATTTTATATAGTGATCACTGAGTGTGTGAGGAAAAAAAATTATGAAAAATGATGGTTCGTTTCTGCGGTGATAGATATTATGATTATGATTATCAATGGATGATGTTTCAATTCGCACTGCTGCATTTATCAAGGATAGCATCGAAAAGATTGCTGTGATGTAATTGTAAATCATTTGAAGCATCGCCAGTTTTCCGTAGAGCTTTACTCAAACGACTCACCGCTTCTAAAGAGGTTAAAGTAGAAACTAATGCTGCCAAGGATTCGACTGTCGCTGATTTTTCCCTCTTCATTTTTCTTGTCATTGTTGTCATCATGTCCATAGAATGTGCGAGCTCTCTAATATTTTGGATGCTTGCTTGAGGTGGTTAAAAGTATTCGGTATGCTCCGAGTCTTTTTCAAATCTTTTCGCTTCTTCGTGCATGCTTTCTTTGATTTTCAGTATAGCTGCCGATTCAGTTTGATCACTTTCGGTCGTGCCAACGAAAGGTCCAAGAGGCCCATAATCGCCCATACCACTACCAGAATCTTCGCGAGGCGTGCCTGGTCCACCATTGGCTGGTGAGTTTTTCATTCCATCTAAACCGGATCCATCACCACCGGTACCATTAAGTACGGGTCCCATAGAATTTGGCCCACCACCCATAGGCCCCATCCCGCCAGGACCACCGCTTCCGCCGTCTGGTCCTCCCATTGGAAATTCTGGTTTTAACATCGAATACATACTATCACCCGGTCCACCGGGACCAGCTTGTGTATTATCTTGCGGCGAGGGCATAATAGGTGTGCCAGGACCGGGTGGCCCATTCGATCCGGGACCGGGTCCATAATTACCAGGCGATGATGACGAGTAAGCGTTCATTGGCGCTGTGGCGTTTGGCTGCCATTGAGGTGGCCTTCCGCCTGCTCCCATACCCATTGGTGGCATCCCACCTGGACCAGGTGTTGGACCCCTCATACCACCAGGGCCTCCATATCCCATAGGTCCCATACCTCCAGGACCTCGCGGCGGATTCATGCGAGGATTCATTGGACCCATTCCGCCCGGCCGTGTCGGATCCATGCTGTTGGGCATCATCGGCTGGCCCGGAGGCCCGTTAAAGTCATTGCCCATTCCCTGCATACGCACACCTGGCCTCGGACCACCTGGATAACGTGGTCCACCCATAAATGGTGGCTGGCCTGGCATCATTTGCGATGGGGGAGGCTGCGGACTTGATGCATGCGTCGGTGGAGATGGTCTCATTGTTGAGCTGGGAAAAAAATTTGTACCCATTGGTCCTCCTGGGCCCATAGGGCCATCAGATCCTGGTGGCATCTGTCCGAGTGGACTAGGCGCTGGTCCACCAGCATTATGTGGGCCTCCAGGGCCGATACCATTTACTGCATAACCCGAGCTTACAAATCCATAATCGTGGAAAGCCTTCGCTTCCGATGAGTGTTCACATTGATCGCGACGTTCAGGTGCAGCGCAATATAGATCCCAGAATACGCACCACCACGTGTGTAAAAAGCCAGGAGGTTCGCCTAACGAAATATTCTTTTCCCATCGTATCTCTGATAGAAAAGTTTGTGCTGCTTTTTGAGCTCCTACATGTAATAAATATTCATACACATAAAGTGCTAGCTTTTCTCGGGCCTGGGCATCTGAAGGCACCGAGGCATTTTTCGATTTGCCATACATTGCTGTGATGTCTGTGCCAATTATAATGGGAGAAGTTATAAAGGGTGGGACGACTCCTTTCGGTCTTCCCTTTCTAGTCCTAGATTTCAGTTTTCCTGCAGTTCCTTTTGCGCTACTGAAGTCTATCAACTAATGATTTTGTGTTATGTTGTGTATATTACTGTAATCTTATAAATTTTAACTGTATTCGTCAAAAAATCAACTTTTAATTTAATTGGCGCTCACTTTTTGCTTATTATATCGTACTGCTGCCGCTATCCTCTGCTTTCTTGTTGGGGCTCACGCAGCCGTTCTTCTATTCTCTATAATTTCGAGCATTTTTACAATATTCGCTTGATTTTATAGATTTCTCAACTTGATCTTTCTTATATTTTGTGCGTTTATTCAAACAGTTGAAATTGTTGGAAATAAGTTTGTGTCAAATTATTTTCTTAATTTTTATATTGCCTTCTTTCGTTATATATTTTGCGTACCAATATGAATACTTCTTTGCGTTATTTTTGTAGTACAAAAAAGTTTTGTATATGGTTTTGTTCGGTTTTGTTCTCTCTTCTTCTCAATTTTCGTAAAAATTTAGTTCATGTATTCGCTGCTTCTTCGTTTTACCGTTTATTTGCTTGTGTTTGTTTCTGCTGCTGTTATTGTGTTATTATTGTTGGCTTTGTTGTTGCTTGTTTAAGTGTGATGCTTCTTCTTTTTGTACTGCTTTTGTTGAACAACCACCTCATTCGTACATTCGTTTTTTACTTTACGTTGATATCTCGATTTATTCCCTCACTCGTTCGCTTTATACTCTTTCGTTCCCCCTTTTTATACATAGAATGATGACGAACGATGTTATGCTGCCTTCTCTATTGTTATTGCTGCTGCTGTTGTTGTTGTTGCTGTTGTTATTAGATATTTCGCAAACTGAAAAATGAAAAAAAGGTGAAAATTCAATATGAAAATAAAAATGAAGATGAAAAATTAAATGCAATGAGAGAATTCCCAAAAATGTACAGTGCGAGCAATGTTGTAAATGTAGCCGTTTCTTAACGAATTAACGAATTAATTTTTCACTGCGTACAGCGATTTTCGCTTCACCCGTCCACTTTACTAGTCTAACATGTTAACTGACCAATACTTCTCATCCTTATCAAAGCGATTAACGTAGATACGTTAAAAATGATTTCAACGATGAATTTGATGGAATTGTTTTTTAGCATCTGTTTAGAGAAAGAACGAATTTTAAAAAGCGGTCTTGAGAAAACGCATTTTTGACAATATGACGCTGCATCCAAATAAAAATAATACTATGTTATCAATTTTTTCGTTTTTTATACCTCGCTGATGCATCTATCGATAAGATTATGGGAAACTTTCTTTCTAAATTATAAGAGATATTTATACAAGTTCAAAGGGAATGAAGATTTTCACATTATGTCACGATTTTGCCAAAATTTCATTTTATAAATAAAAATGCATCCTTTCAAATTAATATTTAAAAAGATGCAAACTCTTGTAAATCTATCGGAGATATATATGGACCAGGCGGTTCAAATGATCGTGAAGGGCATTGTCACGTCATCTATATCCAATGTAATATTAAAATATATATTAGTGATTTTTTTTTTAAGATGAGGCCATTGATAGCACTTTACTGAGAGAGTATCGGCAATAGCATAACAAAGATATAAATAAAGGGAGAGCGAATAATAGGGGTTGCCAAAGCCATTTAAAAATTAATGAATATGTGCGTATAAACGTACACATACAGTTCGCGACAAAACAATTACAACTTTTCCCTGTTGTGCAATCATACGTGCATCGATCTTAAGATCGATTAAAGAACATCAGCATGGTTAAAGCGGTTGTAGAAATGAAGTTTATATAACATTTACTAAACGCCATTATCTACATATATTTGCAACTATAATGGACAATAGTATGGGATATTATGATATTGACAGAAACAGATAGATGACGTGTGCTTGTATATTCATAAGAGTTTTTGAAAATAATCTTTGATTGGGTTTTTAGCTGCGATAAAGTGAAGCTCATTATTTGGTCAAATGCTATCTTTCCTGGATGAATTTAACATTCCATCACATGCAAATAAGAAAATGGCCCCTGAAGCAAAATTTTCGATTACTTCTTGCCGAGACTCATTACAAGCTAAACCCTAACTTCTATATAAATCATATGTTTACTAAGTCAAGTTTTCTTCATATCTCAAGTGGATATCAATGAATGAACAAGATAAAATAAATATTTGAACCATCAAATATCTGTAACGCATCGACAATGAGGTAATGTACAAACATGGCAGCTCAGTAGTGACGGCGGTATAATTACAATCCTTTCATTCAATTTTTCTTCCCATCACCATTTAGGTAATTAAAAAACAAATGAAAGCATACCGAGACGCGGCCTACCATTAAGTATTCAGTAAGCACATCGTTTCATGCGGTTACCTTTATAGCGACAGACAGACAGACAGACAGACAAGCTTAGATCGATGAATATAATTAAAGATATATATATCTCCACTGCACCCGGTTGTAGCGTACATCCGCACTAATTTAATACATTTACTAAAAATGCTTCCGCCCACAAAAAGAGAAGTAATTCTTAACTTATATCGATCGATTCAGAATCATTTACTAGACTGTCCGTCTATTCGTCCTGTTCTTTTTTAATGTTCAGCCTACAAGCCACAATTGATTTTTGATTTATCTTGAAATTTGGTACTGGCCCAAGAATGAACTATTTATTGAAAATTGTTGAGATTGGACCATCGTTTCGATCACTTGCCATATAAGAATCTATTTTGAAAAGTCTTTACATGAATAATTGTAGGGCGATGATGTCGGATATTTAATAACGGACCGCGGTCCACTATAGCTGTTTCAGCGGTTTTCAAACTACATTGCTCCTTTTTCGATTCGTTTCTAGAAGCTGAGGTAAAGATTCATTTCAATTTGAACAAGTGAAGTTTAAGCGTCGCTCGCTGCATCGCTTTTTATATCTTTAATTGCAACTAGAACAGTAAGCTGGCATACGTACCCATCGTATCGTATATAGATACAAGAGAATTTGTTTCATAACTTTAACATGTATGTAATGATACATGTTAAGTTAATCTCAACTAAATATTAATTAACATTAAATTCATCGAATCAAAATTTTCAACTTTATATTAATGTATAGCAATTATTTTGCCATTTACTGCCGCCTCGACATGCCACAACAAATTGAAATGTTTGTGTTTACATAGGAGATTATCGCTTATCTTCAACACATGTATATAAAATTTATCTTTTTATCGCCGAAACGTTTTCATATAAATTGCAAAAGTAAAATATTTCTATGTACGTGGTCGTCTTTACTCTATGCAAGATCGTACTCTGAATATAATAATTGCGACCTCGAAACTAACTAAAATGAAAATAAACTAAACCATATTAGTCATTTAAAGCGGACTTTCTTTCTACATAAAAAAAAAAAAAAAAAAAAAAAAAATTGCTTAAAGTCTGCATAAACATGAATGTACGCACACACATATTATGCATGTGGTTGTCATTAATTATTATGGAATTTCGCTACAAAAGAAAAGATATATTGAAAAAAATAAGATCATTAAGGCTGCATAATTAGTATGAAAATATTTTTCAAGGAATATGGCGCGACCATACATGTCGCTGAGAAACTCTAATCAAGACTGATATAAGTTTGTTCATAATTAGTCAAACTAATCAAATTTATCGTTATTAGACTTTAACTGAGTTTACGCTTTCTTCAGATAAAAGAGCTTACAATAAGACAGAAATATTCGGCTCATATAGAACTTTTTTGCACCCTTCTATAAATGATATCGAGAAGGAATCAAACTGGATCCAAGATAAATCAGTCGATTTTCATAGACTTCTTTCGAAATCGTCCTTAGACAAGTGACTTTAGTTAAGGGACTTTTGCTGCAAGCGAAATAAACGTTAGAGAGTGCAAAGTCCTGCCTATACGATTGACTATCTGGATAAAGTCACTGAACCTGCACTGCACCCTCAATTATTCATTCGGTTTGATGTTCTCATGAAGGAAGACTACTCTTTCCCTAAATACCTTTCTTAAATACCTTACTGGAATCTCTATTCAATTGTTAACGGTAATAACTGGAGTCCTTCGTTTAACTACGTTCTAAATCTAACGATGAACGATTCCCTTTCAATTCTGTTCAACACAAAGCGTTACCTTATGCGACGTCAATGCGTGTTTTGCCTCCTTTTGAAAATTCATGTGGTTTGAAGTACATCGTCTCTTACACGCTCTTATCATATGTGACCCGTCTTCTATTAATCTCTATTCAAATGATTCATATCAGCAGCCGTTCACGGACACAATTTCAAATCTTCATCGAGTCTATTAAACTAATATATTTTGCGATCAACACGGAATCCTTTGGCGCTGTCACGGCTGCTTATGTCTCAATCTTTTTCGATCGGGTAAACATCACAAATTTTTTCACTTTTTCCTACTGAAATTGCAAAATGCAGCAAATTTCGAAGCAGTGTAACCGACACGGTTATGAAATGCAACCCTGTCCTAAAACAATAGAAAATTCGCAGCAAATTCATTAAGAATTTTCGCTATTCACCTGTGTCTTTCAACCGAAAGAATTTGCCAAAATAAAATCAGCGAACTGAAAGTTTTCACTAATCATACTTTATGCCATTTGTGGAACTGGGAATATTAAATTTGTGCGGCTTAAGATGGAATCGTTTTATATTTCTTTTTGTAATACATGTATTATTTTTGCGCCCAAGCTACAGATCGCAACACTGACGCACTAGCCCAAGAACGAGTGCGATTGAAACTAAATTCGATCAAATCATTTATATCACTCCTCACAAAAGCTGCTCCCCATTTGAAAACAAGTAAGAAAATTATATTCAGCAAAAGCCGCTACTCGCATACCCACCACCACAATGCTTTTCGCATTCTAATACCCATATCGCTGATATTATTAAGAAAAAATTAATCGCGGTGTCTACCGTATTAGTATTAAAATTAACGCATTTTTATCTTCATTTGAGGAGTGTGCAAAATAGTTTTGCAAATTCTGTCTTGTTTGCCTTATGGTAAAAAAAGCACAAAACCCTAAAAAAGTGAATAGAGTAAAATTTAGTTACTCGTAACTTTGTGTGGGCATTACCGATTGTTTCCATTTTTATACGTAAAGAGCGTTTCGTAAAGTAAATGTGGAAAATTTCAGCCTTCTAACTTCAATATTTTGCGAGTAACGAGCAAAAATGTGAAAATTATTGTTAAAAAAAAGTGGTTTGTGTTTCGTTTACGCTCCACTGCGCTTCTTCTGCTCTGATCAATTTGGCCCATTTTCAATATCAACATGCGTACAGAAATTTTCAATGTTTCTACCAAATTTGAAGCTGATATCTTCATTTTTGCGCACACACACACCAACAAACGGGCAGACATAGCAATATCAGTTCAACATTTCGCGCTGATCAAGAATATATATACTTTATGGGGTCTCTGAAATTTCATGTTGGGTGTTGCATATATTGTGGGAAAAAATAGAAGGAGAATAACCCCATTTTACAGTGATGGATGTAAAAAAAGCATTTCTTGATCAAAATCGCTGGAAAATGTAAAATAAATATTAAAAATTTGAATCTCTCGAATGAGATAATATTTTGGACCCCCCTCCCAATTCAACGTCGTTTCAACAGCGATTTGTTATGTAAATATATATCATATAGATTCATTTTTGCGCTTCTTCTCACATAAAAAACCTTGTGTCGTAGACATTCTTTTTTGCATCAAGGTCTTTATCAAGTTAGTTTGGAGCACGTCAGTTTAGGTCTTTTGATCCTTCCCATAGAAGAGTTCACCTGAAAAGTAAACACATACGTGGTAATTGACAATAATGACTTTTATACCCGACATTGAAGGACGGGATTTCGTCGTCTATTCGTCTTTCGAAAATAATCCGAATGTAGCTCCAAAGAGCTAACACCATGTATAGGCTTTTGATCGGCATCAAATTCTGAATCCACTTAAGCATGTCAGTTGTAAAACAGTTCTCTGACCGCGAAGATGAGGCTATCGCCTTTAAATCTAACTGAAAGTAACTGGAAGTTCTACGAATGAACAAAACGGGTCGAAGGGCAAACCTACAACACCCCTTGAACTAGGAAGATCTCCGTTTTCTAAAGGAAACAAAAATCCCTTTTTTGCTCATTACGCCTACCGAATTATGTCAGATTTTCATTTTTTTGTCAGAACCTTTTTAAGGGCCAGAGTCCACTTTCAATGAGCTCTTGAAACGCGCCTAAATATGTCAATCTGCATAACTATAGTAGTAGTAAGTGAATTAAGGCATCATCTTTAGAAGGGCATGCCAAAAATGCAACGTAAAATGAGAACGACCCATCTTGCCCGCATTACTTCGCAGAATATATATGTGCCTCTTGTGATATTTAGTTAAAATAATTTGACAATTTATTGAAACGTAAATGAACGTATCAGGCGCTACGCTTAATTCGCGTCTTTAAATATTCGATTTGTTTGTGTATTTTCCCCTAAATATCTAATTTGTTTCAGACAAGTTTCTTGTAAGCGATAAAACAACTGCAGTTTTAATTAATTTCCAAATGTGGTTTTGAGATTACGGAAAATATGTTTCGTGGTTAAAAACATTTGGCGCTTTCCCGGTAAAAGCTGTTTGACAATTTTAATCAGAATTTCTTTTCTTTTTTGTGCTCGATTTTAATCCCAATTTTTATTCTCTTCGAAGGTTTCGAATTATATTGTGAAATTAATTAAATGCCCGGCCCGAAACTTTTCTCGAATTTCGATTATAGAGTTTTTTCGTTTACAAATAAATTTGGTATTCAATCAACTAATATAAATTTAGCACGTGGCCCCTCTTTTTAATTACACGAAAATCTAAAATAACTCACTGATGAAGATGCTTACTAAATGTTTACAATACGGATTAATATGTTTACAAACCTTGATTTATATGAAAAAAGATATACAATTGTTTTTGGCATACGATTGACACAGACACAGACTGACTGTTGATTGTTGTTATTAACTAGCTTTGTTTGCTTTACATTAATAAATCGAAATATATGTATATAATTCGTGCGAACGCGAGATGCTTTCTATAAATTCCGCAATAGTTTTATTCATTTGCAATAAAATAAAAAAATAGACTTTTTAATTCTTTTCTTCATTGTATTCGGTGGCAACGTTTAAATATTATTTAAATGGTGGCGTTAAATTTTCGGTATTATTATTATTATTATTATTATCACTAATGTTTTAGCGGCATAATTTAATACAAACCCGCAAAACTATTTAGCTGATGTGTGGTAGTTGATTATAACATAAAACGCGCAAATGTATGAATTTGTTTCTCTTTTCATTAAACAGTTTAATGCGATCTTGTAAAATAATATATTTATAGTTTTTTTTTTTTTTCTTTCAAAGTTTTTTTATACAAAGATTAGGAGGTATTTATTTTATTGCAGATATACATACATGAAATTATTTGGTTACTTTGATTTTTTTTTAAATATGTATTTCAATTTGTAGCATTTTTATTTTTTCTTCTTTTTTGCTTTTTTAATTTTCTTTTACTCTTTGCTACATTTGCACAATATTCTGCTACACACGCGTGTATAAAGTTATATTTATACATGTATTTATGTAAGTAAATGAAAAATGTTGTATGTACTACTATTGCTCTCTTTTGCTCTTCCTTCCCTCTTTTTAAGCATTTCTTTTTTTTTTGTATTTGCTCATGATTTTTTTGTCCGTATAAATTTTGTATTTTATACGTTTTGCGTTATCTTCAATGTTCGTCGGTCGTTATGTTATTCTGTTATTCTGACTTTGTACGTCTACGTAACCGTGTAAAGACAACACAATGAACTATTTTAACAGAGAGTGACTGACGTACAACGGTATTCATAATCTTAATGATGGTTTCTTCGTTTTATTGTTGTATTGTATACGCTCGCTTTTGTGCTCAATTTTGGTTTTTGATTCGCCTTCGCTTTTGCCGAATGTACTCTAATAATTCTTCTTCTTTTATTTCTGTTAGTGCTATTACTTCTATCATTACAAAGGCGACTTGCACTATCCACTTCTCTAATTCGACAAAAACGAACACAACGACAAATCACATTTATATTTTTTTTTCTTAATATCAAATTTTCATCAATATTTTTACAACGATTTACTGACATTTTTGTATTCTTCCATTATGTCCGCAATAATTTTATTTACTTCTATTCACCTTTTTACGAATTGTTCATTTTATGTATAATTTTTTTATTTTATCTAGCTAAAAAATTTTAATATACAATTTTATTCTGCTATACTCATCCGAAATAATTTTATCGGTACTTTTCTTTTGCTACAAGTGCGTCTCGCGTTAAATGGCGTATGTATGACAATACTCGCAAACTTCATAAAAGAGACGAGATTTTTTCACCTTTTTTCGTATTATTTTGACAAGTTGAAAATATCATATAATGTAATGGGATGGCCGTCTCTTTCACACGCTCTCAAAGAATCGGAAAGAAATTCATCCGGTAAGGCAAGCAGAAACTTATAACAATTTAATGCCAGAAAAATTGAAAACATATAAATGGTATGTAAAATACATATTTACTTTACAATTTTTAGTTAAATAAGATAAACTGGTTCTCTCTTGTCGCCTGTATTTTAATATTTCCATTATTATTATTATAATTATAATAATTATTATTATTATAAAAAACTAATATTTCCAATCATATAAATAAATAAATAAATAAAAGAATTTACTTCACATTCATTGCATTTATACCTTTTAATATATTTAAATCTCCGCAAATTAATTCAGATCTGGCAACTCTTTTGACTCTTGTTTTTTTTTCTTTCCTTTCTCTATTTCTTTTCCTTAATATTTTAAGCATGTATTGATTATTATTGTTTTTATAAAAAACACTTTCGCTTCTCCGTTTCTTTCTGCAGGACACAAGCACAATCACTACTTCAGGTGTTTTTTAGTTTTTGTTATTTGCTCCGTCTAGAACAGAGTTGTATTTAGCAAATTTTTCACACGAATCACATTAAATAAGTGAAGTTTATAATTTAATAAATTAGTTTATAAAGTAAACATTGATTTGGTAAGTTGTCCAAACGAGATCAAATACAAAATTTACCGTCTTTATTTTATTATTTTGTAACACAAACTCGCTGCACTTTTCCATTTTTCTTATATATGTATATAAATATATGTATATATGTTCGAGAGTTGCCAATACACACAATTATAAGCAAAAAGTAGAGTATTATTGTTACGAATAATAGATATGGATTGATTACAGCTTTGGTTGGAGATAGTTTTGAATAAAAATAGAAATATACAAGATTTTTTAAAGAAATTGATTGGTGAAGGCCACTATATGTTATTTATTTTGCGAACATGTCTCTAGGCAAAATTATATCAATTGGGGATTGGGATGCAGAGTACCATGCGAATTTGGAAAACATGAATCGTGGCTACTTTATAAGTAAATGTATTTTACCGGTCTTATTGTTGCTGCTCAAATATTTTTTGACTGCAATTGATTACAAATCAATGAAAAGGGTATGGAAATTTGAATGAAAAACATGAAAACTCGATTTACTAATAATGAGGGGCGTGGGGGTACACACTTTGACGATTATATTTAAACAAAAAATTTGTATAATATATCAAGTGAATGGAGCTTCAATCTACTTTATGACCAAGTAAATATATTTTACCGGTATTTTTCTTGCTGCTCAAATAATTTTTGACTGAAATTGATAACAAATCAATGAGGAGGGTATGCAAACGGGTTTAGCAACTTTCATAATATATTTGAAAAAACAAATCTAGAGAGCCTAAATTTGAAGGCGTCCTGATTAACAATTCTAAAAACATACTTAAATTATCAAAAAAGCAATATTTCCCCTTAAGTATATATGGTAATCTATTTACTCCGATTTGGCTGACAACTCACCGTCCAACTTGTATGAATAAGAGAGTAAGAGAGAATTATATATATAAATTTGCTAGAGCAGAGTTTTTAACGAAACAAGCAGAAATTGTTGCAATTGGAAATATATAATTGTATATGCACGAATAGGGCCGTAAATGCAAAACCTAACTCTTCTTTTTTAGATAATGAAAATTCGAATGAGTTTTGTAAATAGTTTTCTTTTGTCAATGTCTCCAGAATATACGGTAACGTTATTTCCAATTCCAGTTGTCCGCAAACATGAGACTCACTTGCCACTTGGAATAAATATCAAGATAATTATGGGATAAAAGAGACATGGCAATTTCCATTTCTTTTTGGAACTTCCTTTTGAAATGCAGTGTAAAGAAGCTGTCTTTAATAACGTTGTTGTTCTTATGAATGCTTATGTGTTGAGTAGTGCTTTTTGAAAAAAGTATCTTTTTCCATGAATCCAGACAGACTGCTGCTTTTTCATTTGAAGATACAATGTTCAACGGATTATATCAAAAAGGTTTTTGTCGCACCATATCCGCATATAACTTATGTAGAATTTATAAATGTCGACCAGTAATGCCAGTAATGAACAAAAAATGTGTTATTTTTTTTTATAAGAAAGAGGAAAAAAAGTAATTTGTAAGAGATATAAAAAAAAACCAACTTAATGCAAACACTTGCCTACTAAAATAATGCGACATGAATATGTAAAAAACAGTCACCTTTTTTTTATTAAGTAAATTTGGATTTTCTTTGTTGTAACTTCAGTTAATTTTTTTTTTTTTTTGAATTTAAAGAAATCATATGTTTTGAGAAAGTGACGTCAAGTTAGAAATGCTAATTTTTTATCGCTTTTTCGAAGTATACAGAAAGTACCACAATAAAAATGTTTAGACACATGGCAAAAGTTTGCAATAAAGTTTACAGTGTTTTCATATATAGAAAAAGCAAGAGTTGAAGAAAATATAATTTTCGAACGAAAAGCAACGGCGTCTTTTGATTTCATCAATCAACAACTGGCATCAAAACAAATGATTCATATGATTCAGTATTATTTTTTATAGCGTCGCTAAATTTCCGTAGTCGAGAAATTGCCTAAAATACCCGGAAACTTAAATAAGCTTCTTTATTTTCTTTTAAAATTAAAATAAAGAAAGTTTTGAAAAGAGCTTTTGAATTCTCATTGCGATCCTGTACATTTTTACAAGTCATTCGAATTATTCTGCCGCGGTCGCAGTTAGCTGTTATAATCTGTTGATGATATTGATTTCCGTCTTATGTCCAGCTAATTCCGTCGGTTTTCATTTCCTTTAATAAAAATTCTACTCTTTTTATCGTTGCATTCATTTGAGTCGAACATGTTGTATGAAATTCAACTTAAACCTTCACAAAAAAAAGGGGAAAAAATCAAAAAATAAATATAATCTGCCTAACTTCAAAGGCATATTTTAAGCAATATAACGATGTGGAAAGAACCCAGCGGTAGAACTTAATTTGTGGAAAGAATCAAGCAGTAGAGCAAATTAATTCACTAATTTAAAACAGCTGTCATCAAAAGTTAAAAACAAAAACATTTTGCCTAAAGTAAATTTTATGCTCAGAATAGAATATTATTTTTCTCAGCATTTTTTTGGGTTTTCATAAGGAATATACAGCAAAGTAAATTTTACGCTCAGAATAGAATTTTATTACTCTCAATATTTATTTTGGGCCTCGATAAGGAATGTACAGCAAAGTAAATTTTACGCTCAGAAATTGAATTTTATTCTCAGTCAAAGCCAAAAAGCAAATTTTGCTCTGAGAGAAGATTGTTTTACTTGTCTCTGAAAGAGAGAGGAAGAAATGGAGCTACACCAATATAAATGCAAACATTTTCTATATTTTTTTAGTTGAATTTCAAGAAATCAAGAAAGGCAGAGATAAATATTGTCTTTTTTAACTTAAAAAGTTATAATTTTATCCAATAAAAAAAATTGTAATAACATATGTCTTATTACTGATTTTTTTAAAATGGTTTTATATACGCATTTGTATTAAACAATTCGAGTAAAAAAATTAATTGTGCGAAAGTGAAAAAACACATTTCGAACTTTATTGCAAAAATTAAGAAAACTTGTACAACTTACAAATATCGTTAATAACCAAAACGAAAAATTAAAAACAAAAAAAAAAAAAACAACAAAGATCATAAGAAATAAAAAAAAAATGTATCATTTCAGTTAAATTTAAATCATTCCTGTAGTTATTCAAGCAAAAAGAAAAAACAGCAAATTTTCAAGTTTTTGATGTTAATATGTGTATTTTTTTTTTCGTAAACACACATATTTTCACTCTTATTGTCCTTCCAAAACAAAAATTTACATATCTCTTCATAAATTGACAGCGTTAGGACTAAAACAAGTAAGAAGATTACAGTCGGGCAAAGCCGAGTTTCATCAGTTTCGTGGAACGGAAAGTTTTGCTAAATTATCATAATTATGTTGAAAAGTTTATTTCTATTTTAGTCGTTAGAGTTGTTTTTGTTGTCTCTCAAGTACGAAAACAAACGAACATTTGCTTGCAAATGTAATTTGAGCGTAATTTCAGCCTATTTGTAAGGAAGTTTTGTTCTTTATATTCATTAAAATACGCGCGTAAAAAATTTCTACAAAAAATAATAATTTAATATTTACTCTATTCGTCCTTGTTCCTCGTTTTGTGCGCTTGAATATCGCGAACGGAAGCAGAAAAACTTTACGGTAATTAAATGTTTGCGCCGCAATTGCTTGTTGTACAAAAAAAAAAAAAGAAAGAATTATGAAAAATGTAAAGAAAAGCAGGAGGAAAATATGAAAAAGTAGAACGGAAAAAGACAGTGCCAACGTAATAAATAAAGATAGGTTTCAATTGCATATTCCTTTAAAAAGTATGGCTCAGTGCCACAATGCATGAATGTCCTTTCGAAAGGGCGGTGAAGAAGAAACATTTTGTTTTATTAAAAGTTTGTATTCTGCGTATCGTGTGTGCGTGCAATGTTTATTATAATTTACACAAATTTTTCATTTTATTACAAGCATTGTTGGTTCTCCTCTCAAAAAAGAAAAAGACGCTTTTAAATATTTTGCTTTTGTTGTATAATAGTACATGTGTGCATGTGTTTTCATTTTCACGAAACATTTCATTGCATTGCGCCTCTCTACCTCCTGCTATAGCGGGAGTTAAACGGTTTCTTAAATCGTAAAGAGCCGAAGGTCTTTATCTCGTCCAAAATTTGGTTAGTTGTAAACATTTCCAGCATTTTTATATGCGAATGTGTGTACATGTGTTTCCATTTTCGTAAAACATTTCATTGTATTGCGCGCTTCTCTTCCTGCATTCGCCAACCAATTGTTTGTGAATTTTCTGCAAAAAAAAGCAAAAAGAAAACACTTTCATTGTTTGTCTTTCATTCGCTTAATTGTGACGGACTTTTATCTACGTAAGCGTAGAATATATTCCAACAAATACAAATACAAATAGTATATCCATTTATGTGTTTATTTATGCTTGTGTATTCGTAATTGCAAATATAAGAAAACGATGAATGATGGTCCTCTAAAAATACTTGAACTATTAATTATACAAAATGAATATATGATGCTTTCGC